GACTCATAATAAAAGAAGCACGAATAAATCTACTTATGATAATTACGAAGAAGATCAAGTACAATCGCTAACTTTAAGACTAGTGCATCCTAGGTGTTTCGCAAACTTTCGGAGGTCTGCGCCAGGGGCGGCGCTGGAGGATCGCGCTGCGTCGCCGCTCCAAAATTCTGACCTCCCATGTTCGTTCGCACCCCGCCAACCCGAGTGGCGCCGACCGGCCGCGATCAGCACCATGGAGCCGTCAGCTCGGCCCCAGCTGCGCGGGCAGACCGCTCGCCCACGCCACCGCCAGGCCCCGCAGCAGGCAGCACTGGGCCACCCGCCGGGCACTCGCAGGTGCCCCTCGCAATGCCGCCCCAAGACGCACAGATGCCGGCCGGCGCTTCCCCCGAGGGCTCCGCCGCGGCCCCGGCGGCCGACCCTGGGAGCCCGCAGCCCGCCCCTGCTGCGCCAGCAACCAGCCCTCCGCCCGGTACCCCTGCGGAGAACGTCGACTGGTCCCCCGGTTGCCTCGATGAAGACGTCGCCGGCAGGCGAGGTATCCAGCCTACCGATCAGATCGCCATCCGCCGCACGGCGATGGGCCTAGCCCCTGCGCCTCGCCCCGGCGACTACGTCATGGCCCGAGACGACTCCCCCTGTCCGCATCTGAAATGGCACACAGAGCCAAACGGCACGGGAAAGCGACTCAGCCCGGATGCCGACCGTGGTGCCCTGGTCGGTCCGGTCGAGGAGGTGACCCTGCCGGAAGCCGAGCTGCCGCATGGACCCGCCAGGTACGTCAGCATCAGAGTGGGAAAGGCCTGGGCGCCCATCTGGGACGGAATGGACACCACCAACATGGCATGGGTAGTCACGCCCGAGCTACTGGAAGGCGCTGACACTGGACGCTCTCTCGGCATGACGCCGACGGCCAGCCTTGCTGGCGGCAGCAGCGCAGCCCCTGGCCCCGCTGCAGCAATTCAGGCTACAGCCCAACTGATAACCGGCGCCGAGACCCCAGCCAACCCGGCACCTGCAGCCGCCCAGTCCGCCGGCACAGCGGCCGCCAGCACCCAAGCCGCTTCCAGCTCACAGTCTGAATACACTCGCGCGCTTGCCCCCCGCCGCCACCCAGACCCGCGCGCCGACCCAGACTGGCCCGCAGAGCGCGCCCACTGGGGCTGGGGCGATGCGGACAGTCCCTCCGACTCCCTGTGCAAAACGGCGTGGCGGCGCATCACCTTCTGGCGCACGCAGGACCGCCGCGGCCGGCTGGAGACCTGGCCTGAGGTTGTCCGTATAGGCTCAAAACGTACTGTGGAGCCCTGTTCGTGAAAGGCTGGCACGCGATCTGCTACCGGAGCGACCAGCGTGCTGCAAAGGTGGCGGGCGGTACGACACACGGGGGCACGACGAATTCTGCCGCCAGTTCATGGAAGAAATGTACTACTGCCATTCCGACATTCGAAGCCTATGGTGGGGTCGCAACATCGACACCACCTGGGACGACGTCTGGAGCAGGCAGCGCGACCAACACGGTCGGCTGCATGACCGGGCCACAGGCGCCGGCAAGGGCAAGGGTGTGCCGCCGCCAGACAAAGGCAAAAGGAAGCGCCTGTCCGACGCGGCCTGGGACCGCGCACCGACGGCCAGACCCAGACGCACCCAGCCTGGCCCCTGCGGCTTGTCCTCCTCGACGGCGACTCGACGGCATCCCTTCGGCCCTGTGCGCAGCGATCGATGGCATACTGCGCCCACCGGCAGCGCCAGCTACACGACATCCGATCAGTGCCCCTGAGAGAGCTCGCGCTTTGCTCTCTCCTTGGGAGCACCTGCCCTGCCGACTACCTCTTTTTACGCTGCGCTGCTACTCGGTTCATCCTGACCACTTGGCTTCGGGCACACCCTGCCCTCCTCCCTGCGCGTGCTGTCCGTCTGGGCGGCGCGCTGCACCTCTTCACCCGCACGCTGCACCATTCTGGTGCGTTCCTGGTTTCCCACCAGCGCGGCTGCCTCTTGCGCTCGCTGGCCGCCGCTCGCTGGCCTCCGCGGCAGCGCTCGGCTTCTCCTCCCTGCGCCGCTCGGCCGCTCTCCTCGGTGCAGCTCTCCGCTGCATCCCGCTGCCGCCTCTTCTCAGGCCCCCCACCGCTGCCGCCCCCAGCGTCAGCGGCCGTTGCGTGCTGTCCGTCGGGGCGGCGCGTGGCTCTGCTCACCCGTTCGCTGCACCCTTCCGGTGCCTCCCTGGTCTCCCTCCAGCGCAGCTGCCACCCGCTGGCTGCCACGCGCTGTCCGTCGGGGCGGCGCGTGGCCCCTCCTCCTCCTGCGCCGCTCGTGCGCCGCTCCTGGCTCGCCGTCACGTGCTGTCCGTCGGGGCGGTGCGTGACCCTGAGTTCCCCTGCCTGTTGCACCATTCTGGTGCCCCTGTGGCGCGGCCCTCATGCCGCGCCCCCCCCTCGGCCTCGCCCTCTACTCCGCCGTCTGCGCCCCATCGCAGTGCGGCCGCCGGCGCCCCCGCGCCCGCCTGTGCCCGCCTGTCTCCGCGCCCTCAGCCGCATGGCCCGCTCCATCTCCTGTGGAGCGGCCGCCCCTGGGCCAGGCACCCTCGGTCGCCACTGTTGGTCCTGCTGTTTTGCCCTCCCGGTCGCCTGCACCTGTGCAGTGCGGCCGCCGGCGCCCCCATGCGCCCGCCAGTGCCCTCCCTCACTCCGCGCCCTTTGCTACCTGTCCACGCCCACCTCCTTACGGAGCGGACCGCCCCCGGGCAGGGCACCTCCAGTCGCCTCGCTAGCCCTCGCGCTTCCAGACGGGCTCGGCTCGCCTCGAGTCCGTGCTTCCGCAGTGACGCTGTCGCCGCAGCTGCGGGCCTTCCTCCTCGTCTTCCTTTCCTCGCCCGCCTTCCTGATCCCTCCCTCCCTCCGGCCGCCATGGCGCCGCCGCCCCGCAGCTCTTGCTCGCTGCCGCCGCGCTGCCCCTCTGGACGCCCGGACGCGCCGTCCAATGGCGCCCACGCGAGCTCGTATGGCTTCGCACGTCAAGCTGAAGAACACGCTCGAAGCACTTTGCTCGAGGCAACCCACGGGCGCTTGCACTGTTTCCCCTTGCCTGGCGCCTCGCGCCTGCTGACGCGGCCTGCTTGGCCTGCGCTCTGGCCCCCCAGACGCCGTCCCCGCCGCCCGCGGGCCGCATCGGCTGCTCACGGCGGAAGTCTTCCGCCCCTGAGCGCTCGCCCTCCCGCCCACCCGCGGCCGCCCTGTCCTTCTTCCTCCCTCCTCCTGCATGCCGGTCAATTCGCTTTGTAGTGCCCCTGCATCGCTGCCACGCTGGTGCGGATTGCCCCGCCTCGCCACCGACGGAAAAAAAATCATTCGCACTCCAAGGCTGCCCGACCACCGGAGGTGCCCCTCCTTCACGAACTGCTGCACGTGCTTAGGGGCGGAGCCTCCGGCTCCAGTCTCGAACATGCCCCCGCCGGCGAGCAGCGGAACGACCGAAAGCATTTTGGCGCTGGTGCCCAGCTCGATGATGGGGAAGAGGTCAGTCAGGTAGTCGCGCAGCACGTTGCCAGTGACGGTGATCGTGTCCTCTGCGAGACGGGGGTTCATGCACATCCGCCCCCTGAGGAGCCGACCTCCCAGGACCGCGGAGAGCGGCGGATGTTAACATATCTGGGCCACAGAAGGGCCGAACATATGGTGGGTTCCGGAAACCCTGAACCCAACTAACGCTGCCATCCCTTGGTGGCACATCTTTTACTTTCGCAGGCTTCCGCCAGCGGAGGCGCCCTCGTTTTACTTCCGCCATCTGCCGGCGGCCTTCCGCCGCCTTCCGCCGAGGAAGAGGCGCCAACTCATTCGATCCTCAAGGCAAGGCCCTTTCTGGAGCGCCCCACATCATATCCACCGCCTCAGCAGGTCCAGGATAGTTGGCTCCCCGGGCGGTGGACGTGTACAAGCCTTCGCCTGGGATCCTGGCCACTGCGGGCTCGCGCCAGCGTGAACTTCATCGCCTCCTCTGGGGCCATAATGTCGATGTGCAGGCCGGTGGTGTCATGCTCCTGGGGGACGCTGGGGCCAGGGCAGGGAAAGGAAAATAAAATAATCCAGGAAGATACAAACAACTAGACACACATTTCAAGAACCCGTACATGTCAGGAGTTTTCGTAGGCCCCTCGCTTTCCCATACTTCCCCATATTCCCCAAGCAGTGCTTGCACTTAGGGATTCTTACTTCGTTTCTGAGGAACTGCGCTCCGTTGCTGGGCCCGCCGCCTGGCTGCCCCGTCGCCGTCTGGTCGCCGCTCGTTACATGGATATGTTTATGTGTATCTCTCTCTCTCTCTATATATATATATATATATGACACTGGAGAAAAACAAACACTCAGGGCTATAGGGCTAGGGGGCTCTAGGGCTATAGGGCTATTGAGCTATAGGGCTATAGAGTTGTAGGGCTATAGGGCTATTGGGTTACAGGGCTATAGAATTGTAGGGCTTAAGACTATAGGGCTATAGGGCACCCCCGGGCACCCCTGGGCAACCCTGGGCACGCCCGGGCACCCGGGCACTTGGGCACCCCCGGGCACCCCCCGGGCACCCGGGCACCCCCGGGCACCCGGGCGTGCAGCGAAAATCGGCGACAAACCGAACCTAACCATATGAATCCGCTAGGACCCCTACAGAGGCAAGCTCTGATTGGGGAATATATATATATATATATATATATAGAAACGAGCAGATGTACATGTGCTCTTATCTACACACGTCTATACATATTTATATATACACATGTATGTATGTATATATATATCTATATATTACATGTTTTCCCATCGGAGCTGGACCGAAACCTGTGCAGACGAAGTGAATTCAAGAACATGCAGGCGCCATAAGAAACGACGCGTCGGTTCAACCCTCGGCTCGTGCGAGGGACAGGGCCACGCGGTCGAGCCCGACTTTGCTTCGCAGTCTCTTCTGGGGACGGATGTCCTCCATCTGACTTCGTTGGGGGGCGCGTTGGCCTCCCCCTCGAGATATTGGAATCCAACTTCTGGACAGTAGGAATGGGGAGGAACGGTCGAGGACACCGCTCTTCTCTTCGCAGGCTGGCCGGAGAGAGGCTGGGTGCGCCCCCTCTTTTGTGCAGCGCCGCAGTGTATGCGGTCTGCCTGGTTAGCCTCCTCCAGTCCAGCACGACGCAGATCACGACGCAAACTGGAGCGGCGACCCCGTCTCCTGGTCTCAACCGCATGGGCGAGGAGCCGAGGACGAGAAGAAAACTGCATGCGACAAATCGGGCATACTCCTGACTTGGGGAGGTACGCCAGGAATGGAGACCGGAGCTTGTGCTCCGCCCTCTTATGGGAGGCCAGCGCCTTCTCAGTCGGGAAGCGCGCGGGGCAGGAAGGGCATTGAATGCGGGCGGCCGCAGCCGCCAATTCTGTCTTCTCGACCGGGCTGTCGACAGGCATATCCGGAAAAACAAACAATGACTTTACAAGCGATCTCCACTGGGTGGGGAACCGGATGATTAACGAAACCCATGCTTCAGCATTCGACTTCGGCGAGCCAAGCTCGGCCAGCTTGGACACATGGAAACTCGCCATGATCTCAAAATCACTGAGAACAAGCCGCGTCCAAGGAAGCTGCTTCTGCTCGGGGCCCGCCTGGATAGAGAGCAGCGAAGGGACATGGGGAGGGGCAAACCTCAGGAGAGAGGACAAGAGGAGGAGACGGCGCTGACTGATCAGACACTGCAAGCAAGGGCAGCCCAAGACTTTCCGAACATGTCGATCGCTGCCGTGCCCAGATGCTTTGAATCTGGACGAATAAGCTATGCGTCGTAGGCCGCGCATGTACACAGCATTCAACTTCATATATGTATGGCCACGAAAGGGACGAGGGCAGCAGCGAGGAACACAGCAGAGGGAGGGAGCAAGAGAGGCGAGCGGAAGGAAACCTCCAACGCTGTCGCCCAACACATCCATTCGGAATTCGGAAGTGTTTTCATAAGAACACCTCCGGATCATAGGTGAGAGTGCCGAGCTACATCGCCAACTCGTTCGCGTACAACCTGGACAGGGAGGCGGCGTTGCAGGTAGGCGCAGCTTTTGCCGAGTGGCTCTCGCGTTTCGAAGGTTTCACCCAAAGGACCAGCAGCGTTTCAAAGGTCGTGCCCAGTTACGTGAGCTCCAGAAGAGACCTGAGGCCCAGGGTGCCCATTTCGTTTCGTCCAGGGACCCTTGGTGGGCCACCTTGAGTTTTCTTTTGTCGGACCTGGTTGGTTTTCTGGATGATCGTACAAAGCACAGGCCGCCTGGACTTTTTGAGCGTCTCAGAGACATGGCAGCTACGACGCCAGTCTCGCCAGTCATGTCACTCACCACCAAGATTCGCTCTGATTGGGTCCGAGGTCTCCGTGTTCTCAGAGAAGCTTCGGACCAGACGATCAGAGATTTCGAAGCTAGAGCCAGGCAGAATTCAGTGAGAACCCAGCGAATGGTTTTGAATAGCACGCTCTCGTGCTTCCACCAGTGGGTGATGCAACAGGAACAGGCTGGAGGCCGAGGCTTATACAGCCGCATTCGAGACAAGACGGTGTACGTGGGGGAGGTTCGGACTGGGGGGGGAAACGGCTGATGACTCCTGCCAGAGAATGGCTGTTAAGGCAGATCTCTGGGCAGCTAAGTGGGTGGGCAGGCGACAGCGTTTCTTGTCCGAGGGTCCGTTCTCTCTGGAGCAAGGCCCAGTCCAGGGCCAAGTCGAACCCGAGGCCCCCGCTTGGGGCCGACTGGCTCAGGAGGGTCATCTCGGCCCTGCCCGAAAAAACACCAGGTGTAGATAGGCTGTCCAAGAAGGACTTTCAATGGCTGCCGCAGCTTGGCCTGCAACAGCTTGCTGATTTCTGCGCCCTAGTTGAGCAGAGGGTTTGTTGGCCTTGGCATGCCCTTGTGGTCCTCGTTCCGCTCCAGGTCAAAGACGTTGATTCCGATCGTGCGATAGGCCTGCTGGCCTGGGTGGTCCGCTTTTGGGGTCGACTTCGGACCTCGGACCGTGCGGGTTGGACCAAGGAGCGAGCGGGGCCATGGGACACGGCGCTTGCAGGTTGTTCGGCGCTGCAGGTAACTTCCCAGGCTGTTTAACGATGAGCAAGCTGCTCGCTCAGTTCTTCCAGATCACCAGGGTGCCAGCTTGCTCTGGGACGTGAAAGGTTTCTATGACAGTCTTCGTTGAGGCCTGGTCCTGGACAAAGCGTTGGATTTGGATTTCCCTCCCTGCTATTTGGCCCTTGAGCTCCAGGTCCATATGGCAGCCAGGTTTCTTCGAGAAGCTGGAGGTTGTTTCGCGGGCGGTGCAGCCAGGCATGTCACTGATTCCAGGCAGCAGTGGTGCAGTGGATTTAGGTCGGGCGGTCCCCCACTTTGTCTGCAGGAAAATTGCCACGGGCCGCCCTCTGCCGTCGCTGCGCGCGTGGGTTGACGACATAGTACAGTGCATGTACGGCAACATCGATAGAGTTTTTAACGAGTTGTCGAAGCTGGGCCTGGAATTGGTCCAGGGCCTGCGCGAGATCAAGTTGCAGATTGCTCCAACATCGGCCATCATCTCGTCCTCCTGGGGGTTGGCCGTGAGACTACAGGATTTCTTTTGTGAACAAGGCGTCCGAGTGCAGGCTTGGAAGGTAGTGGCTGACTTAGGCACTGGCAGAGGCCAGGTCAAATCGTCGAGGCCCATGCGAGCCAGTCGGAGAGAGGGGGCTGCGAGGCGGCGCACCAGGCTCGGCAAGCTGGCGAAGGGTAACGAACTCTGCAAAAGGTGGGCTCGTAGGATGGCTATGGCCTCGGCTTTTTCTAAAGCTAGATAATATTCTGACAAGGTCCATGGCACCCCGCCCAGTGTTGCCCTTGGTTGGCGTAGAGCGTTGGGTAGGTTGACGGGGGGTGTCTCGAAAAAGGGGAAGGTGCCTGACCACACTTCTTGCGCTGGGGTACGGTAGGCGAGACCCTGCCTTCTTTGCGACGTTCGACGCTATAGAAGCTTGGCTACATACTTTAACACATGCGAGCTTCGACGCCGATGAGACGAGGCGTGTTTGGAGGAAAGTCGCGGCCGAGCTCGAACCCAAACCAGCTAGGAATCGATGGCGCGGGATCGGCACTCCGACTGCCGCCGCGATCGCCACTCTGCTGGATGTGGGTTGGAAACCCTGGGGACCTTGGGCCTGGGAGAGTGACCTGGGTGATCGGTTCGCGATTCCAGAAACCATGCTCGGGCGAGGCAAGGTTGACCTCGCGAACCTGTTTGAAGCTCTGGCTCAGAGTAAAGAGAGGCAACTTTGGGCCGCTGCTGCGGCCAACTCGTGGAGCGGGTCAGGTCTTGAGCAGGTCCCAGATGCGTGCGACTTTAAGCGCCAGCATCGCTTTCTAGCGAAAAAGGGCAAACACGAGTGGAGAGGAATCTTGAAAGCCGTGGCGGCGGGCAACAACTGGCCACGCGCAAGGCTCCAAGAATGCGGTCTCACTCAGGACAGCTCCTGTAAAAGGTGTGGTGAGTTGGTGGAGTGTGACGTGCGCATGGCCTGGGGCTGTCCTAAGAATGCAGAGTTTTCGAAGGTCTCAGAGTCAGTGCGCCGCAGAGCGCTAGAGGACTGGGAGGCAAATCCGAGCTTTTGGCTGCGAGGGCTGACGCCAAGCAGCTGGACCGCCGCCCCTCCGCCCCCCGAGGGAGCGGATTTCCGTACCTTTGGGGGGGGGGGCTGGAGGAGGCGGTGGTGGATGGTTTCATCTTCGGAGGAGGGGGCGCCAGCGGGGGGCCCGACTCGCAGGACCCAGCCCTCCGTCGCGTCGCCTGGTCATGGGTTGTATTCAGAGGCCTCCGATCTGGAGGCGAGTATGATCCCAGAGAGATTCAAGCACATAGGGTTAGTTTCGGCAGTGTTCCAGGTTGGCGCCAGTCGGTCAACGGGGGGGGAGCGTTGAGTTTCCTGGAGCTCCTGAGGGCTATCCTCCCTGTTGCAGACGGCTTCTTCGTGACGGACTCCACTTATGTTGTCAAGAATTT